GCAGTGTGTGACCTCTCGGTGCAATGGGAACTGTGCTGGAAATGTGAAAAGAAACATTCTGGAGCTGCATGCTTCTGTTTGGAAGGAGGAGTTGGTTAAAAAAAATAATTGAACACGCACACAGCTGGTGTTTGAGTCGCTGCTGCTTGTTCACCATAAAGCAGTGGGGGAAAAAAAAAAAAAGAAGAGAACTCTTGCACAACACACACACAGTCACGCATGTGTTCACACCCCGACAAACACACACAGTCGTGCACATTAATAATTACTTCATTCTGCCTGCTCAACTCTCTTCGTGGCAGGAACGCTTTCGAGTTCTGTGAAGCTCGGCTCATTTATTTACACAAGAATGTTGCATCATTTCAGCGCAGACTGCACAGCATCATCTGTCTCCTGAACCCAGCTGCAGTGATGTTGTTTCTCGGAGCTGCACTGGCGTATTTTATGTGAACGCTTATGGGCCGGCACTACAGTTTATGGGGGTGAGTCATGTTCACATAACAAACAGGGGCCTGCATGGGAAAAAAAAACACAATGTCATGATGTTACAGCCAGAGATGAGGCTAATTTACACCGGAAAGTTGCTCCGGAGTCACAGCATCCCCAAAGCTGCCAAAACACTCCAATTTTTTCCAGTGAGAAATTAGAGTTCAAAGTCACCTTTTTAATGTCAAGCTGACTGGATTTATATAATAAAGGATGCCATGTGACTGGTTTAAACATTCCCTCTGCACTTCCTTCTCCTCTCCGGTGTTTCAAAACGCCGTTAAAAGTTCAACAAGGACGGCGCTGACAGCAGGAACTGACACAGACCTGCTGCCAGGTACTTTCTGTTTGGTTGCAAACAAGAAATGTTGTCACCTGCCCTTTCTTCTGAAGCGAGCTGTTGCGTTCACGGAGATGTTCTCACCTTGGTTGTGTCAGTTCCGGGTAGTCACGTTGCATTGTGTTAAAATGTTGCAGTCTGTTCGGAGTTCTTTATAGTGGCAAATAAATGTTTTTCATTCATTCTTCTCAATGCACCTCATTCAGGATGGTCGCCACACTTTATCAAACGTCAAAAAAGGATATAACTGATGATTTAAAAGATGCTGAGCTAAGATTGAAGAGAACAGAACAGATTATATATATATATATATATATATATATATATATATATATAAAATTGTTGAAACGTTTCATCTTTAATCCAGAAGACTTCTTCAGACTGAGGAGCTGCAACAAACTCAGTCTTATAAATAGCACCTTCTCATGGTGGATCAACCAGTTTGTTGCTGACATCCAGAACTCACATGATACCGCTTCAAATGTTATCACCCATTAAATGACCTATTATCAGTTATCATTCCCATAAACAGGTCTCTCTTGAAAATGAGTTCTCGTGGCTCAATGAGACTACCTGTATAAATAAAGGGTAAATGAAAAATGAAAAATATGTAGCGTTCAGACTGCCCCTCCTGTACCTCCTAGTGGGTTTAAAGTGTATGGTATAATGGTATGGTATAAAGTTTATTCATTTTAAAAAGGTACAAAACAATTCCATAACAATATAAAAAAGATACAAAAGATTTAAAATGAAAGGCAGCAGAAAGAAGAAAAAATCTTATTATATCTGCCCCTTTTTTCAAACTATTATTTCAATCATAATCATTTTTAAGTAACAGAACAAAATGAATAACTCTTTCTAATTTTTCTAATTCTAATACAAAACGCACACTAAGCTACTTCATATATACTTTTTTAACAATCCAGTTTTGATCTTTTTCTTAAATGTGCACATTGACTTGGCATTTTTCACATCACTCTCTAGACCATTCCACAATCCAACTCCTTGGATTGAGGTAGACCTTCCCTTCAGACTAGTTCTGAATTTTGGTTTGACAAATATCTCTATCCCCTTAAGATTATAACAACTTTGTCTTTTAACAAAATTTATTTGGATATTTAATGGTAATGTGTTATTTTGAGCCCTATACATAACTGATAAAATACTGTAATCTACCAAATCATGGAACTTCAGTAACTTCAGTTGATAAAATAATGTGCTTGATGGGTGACAGTAATGCTTTCTGGTGATAATTCTTACAGCTCTTTTCTGTAAAATAAAAATAGGTTTTGTAAATGTTTTACACGCTTTCCCCCAAACATCAATGCAATAGATTAAATGTGGAACAATGATTGTGTTATACAACATGTACAGAGCTTTATCATTTAATAATTCCCTGACTTTGGATAGTACTGCAATAGATTTAGATATTTTTGTTCTTACAGAATTTATGTGATTTTTCCATGTTAGCTGTCCATCAATGATTACACCCAAAAATGTCATCTTATTAACTCTACAAATCTCAACACCCTCAATTTTAAATGGATCGTCAACAGTTCTCTTTTTGTTGCTAAATATCATGTATTTAGTTTTATCTAAATTTAATGATAATTTATTAATTTTAAACCAAGTTTGTATTTTATCAAATTCTGTCTTCATCAATTCCAACATCCGTTTTACATCTTTACCCAAACAAAAAAATGTGGTGTCATCTGCAAAAAGGACACATTTGAGGAGTCCTGATACATTCACTAAGTCATTCACATATAAAATAAATAACTTTGGTCCAAGTACAGAGCCTTGAGGAACTCCACATGTGATATTGCAGAGGTCAGATCTTACACCATTTATTTGTACAAACTGTTTCCTATCTTTTAAATAGCTAGATACCCAGTGTAATGCTGGTCCTCTTACACCATATTTATTTAATTTTTCAAGGAGAATAGTGTGGTCAATAGTATCAAATGCTTTTTTTAAATCAACAAAAATACTAACACAATACTGTTTTTGATCGACAGCAGTAATTTGTTCTATTATTTCCATGAGAGCCATTGATGTAGAGTTTTTTGCTCTAAACCCATACTGACTGCTACTTAGAATGTTTTGTTTAGTAATAAATTTATCTAATCTGGTCACAAATAGTTTTTCTAAAATTTTTGAGAACTGTGGTAATAAGGATATTGGTCTATAATTAATGAACACACATTTATCACCATTTTTAAAGAGAGGAACTACCTTTAAAGTGACGTTGTTAGCGCTGATAATAGGCTCACATGGTTAGGTTCAGAGTAAAGGGTCTGGAGGTTAGGCTTAAGGTCTGGGTTAGGTTTAGGCACGAGTGTAAGGGAGTCAAGTTTAGAGTCAGTGCTCTGGGTCAGGTGTAAGGTTAGGTTTAGGAAAAGGGTTACATAAAGCTGACAAAAACAAAAACACTTCCTGTTTTATGTCCGTGTGCGACGCTGCATATTATCAGTGATACAAACAAAACTTTAAAACTGCCAGGAGGTAGGACGGACAATAATGTGATAATGATAACCTTTGAAGCCGTGGGAACATAAACCTAATGAACAACCGTAAGTGCTCTGATGACCACTTGCTATTCACAGGGCTGAGTGATACTAGCAATAACAGTGTTGCAAGAGCATGACAACTGGATATGGACGCCTCCTCCCCTGTCTAATGATGGATGGTTTCTCTTCTCAAAGATGGTCTCCATCACCCCTCTCTCAAACTAACAAACAGGTCCAGAGGACCTGACTTAACTTTGTTAGATTTTTGAGCATGCATCAGGATATTTTCAGACAATTGTTTTTGCGAGAATATTTAAAACTATTTAACTTTTAGAGTCAATCCAGTTTAAGATGGCTGCCACAGCCAATTGAAATTTGGAAACACGTAAATGGCTGTAACTCGACAAATATCAGCTAAAATTTGGTGCGTTGGTAGCTGAGCATCCTCGTAAACGCATACTCTGAGCTACACACATTATGAAATATTTTTGCTTAAAACTTTGACATTAAGTGACATCAGACTTAGTTGGTAACACTTTACAATAAGGCTCCCCTTATAGATGGCTAATAAATAGTTTATGTTGGTAATTCCTCTATAAACATTTTATAAACCATTAATAACTGCCTATTATGCATTAATTAAGGGTGACAGAGACAAAACTGACCAGCTTCTTGTCAAATAATTACCAAGCATTTGTTCACCATATATTTCATTTAGAGTTGTTATGTTAAACATTTCAGACTAAGTTACTACCTTGTAAGCACAATAAGCATTTGTAAACCTATTTCTTTAGTATTATACTGCACTTTATCACTGCATTATAAGTATCTTCAACTACTATTGTATCCTAAAAGAACTGAGTTTACAAATGCTTATTGTGCTTACAAGGTAGTATAGTCTGAAATGTTTAATATAACAACTCTAGGTGAAATTTATAGGTGAACAAATTTGGATCTGGCAAGAAACTGGTCAGCTTTGTCTCTGTCACCCTTAATTAATGCATAATAAGCAGCTGTTAATGAGTTATAAAGTGTTTATAGAGGAATTACGGTAATAACATATCTATAAACTATTTATTAGCCATCTATAAGAGGAACTGTATTGTAAAGTGGTGCCACCTAGTCCGTCTGTTAGCAAAATGTCCCAAAACCATAAAATGGCTTTGAATGAAAATCCCAGTAATGATTGGATACTTTTGGGTCAACCCAATTCTAAATGGCCACCAGGAATTCTTCTGAATGCTATAGGTCTTTAAATGAGTTTGTGAAGTTAAATTAGTTTTCTTTGGATGTTTTGTTTTTCTTGAACTCTTGTGATCAGATTTCTTTTCTTTGCATTCTCTCACATGAAAAAAAAAAGTTGCCCATACATTTTTTTCTTTTCTTTCTTTTTTTTTTTTTTTTTGCAAAGTGGACTGTTGGTGCAGAAGAAGATTTTGCAGTTATTGCCTAAAACATGCAAGATGGTAGACAGATGATTCCTGGCACTTGTCCTTGTTTATCGGCTAAATCTCGGAATGCAGAAGTCTGCATGTTTGCAGATTGATAATGAAAAAAAAAAAAAGAGAGAGATAATTTCTTTGCTCAGGTTTTTTCTGTGTGTCATCAGAGACGAGCCGGGCTGGAGGATTGCTCAACGCTTGTGTCACCAGGAGGCTGGACTGATCCGGAGGAGTGTTTGAGCTCCACATCACCGGAGCGCACACACTCTCCACCTCTCTCTGAGTGTGAGGCTCTCTCTCTCCTTCTTTTCCTCCATCTATCTCTTGTCTTTCTTTCTTTTCTTTTTTTTTTTTCCCCCTTCTCAGCTTCACTCGGATTTATTCTCACCAAACGCACTCTTCAGGATTGGATTTTCATCAGCTCTAAACATGAGACGGAGTTGAACCAATTCATCACCCCAAGGACGCAGACTACTATCTTTTGTTTTTGTTTTTATTTATTTGTTTGCTTTGTTGTCAATGGTGAGCCGGCCATTCAGGATGAACTTGCAGCGGAGCAGCCCGGCGCCCTGCATCCGCCGGAGAGTCGCCCACAAGCGGCTGGACTCGGACGACCAGCCGCCGGCCAAGTGCGTCCGGCTGACCGAGGGTGCCGGGGACGCGCATGGAGGGCTCCTCCTGGGCACGTCACCCAGCTCCCCGCTCAGTCCCGCGGCCAACCCCGCCATCCACCCGCACCACCCGCACCAGCAGCACCAGCAGGGGCCGTCCAGGATCGGAGCGTTCCTCCTGCTGCCCCTCGCGCACCGGGAGAGCAGCGTGCACAGCGCCATGGACACCGATACTGGCGAGGAGCTGCTGTGTAAGGTATGCGCAATCCGCTCATTGTGCAATTTCTCTCAATGAATGATGTTTCGAGACGTTGCTCAACAGCCTGTCTGACATGTTATCTGAAATGAGCTCACTTTAATTTTTACTTCAATCTCACGCATCATGTGTCATAATGTGATTTCCTTTGGAATCAACGAGATAAATCAGGCTCGGTGTTGTGGAAACATCCTCGAGCTCTCACAGTCTGTCAACTCAGCTCATTTGCATGTACGTCATTGCAACACAACGAGCTGTGGCACAAAAATGCAAACATCTTTGGCTGCCTTGATACAGATCTGTCCAGATAAGGACTCATTCATCCCAGCATCCATGTTCACTTTGTGTGAAAACATTCCTTAGTGAATTTAATCCCCTCATGCTTGATTCTCTTATGAAAGCATTTGTGTTAAGGAACCAGGAATCTGAGTCATATTTGCAAAGTTGTTCATTAACTCTGACCCCTCTCCTCCTGTCTCCTCTCCCACATCTTCTTAATTTCCATCCTTCCTCCTCCTTCTCTAATCTTCTCTCCAGGTCTTTGATATGGCTGTGTACCAGGAGAAAATCAGAGCCTACGGAGTTCTGCCGACTCACAAGAACGTGGCCGGCATCCGGGAAATCATCCTCGGCGAGCGCAAGGCCTACGTCTTCTTGGACAAAGACTTCGGGGACATGCACACCCTGGTGAAGAGCTGTCGCCGACTAGACGAGGAGCACGCTCGCAGACTCTTCTGTCAGGTGGCTCAGGCCGTGGCGCACTGCCACCAGGCGGGCATTGTACTGGGGGACCTCAAACTGCGCAAGTTTGTCTTCGGGGATGAGAAAAGGTGAGATACTTTGACACGGTTAATGATTTTTAAAAATAATTTAGCCTTCCTGATTTGATTGATTTCAAAACTAAACCATAAAAAGTCTGATTAGTTTGTGCAGGAACTCACTCACTGATATATAGTTGGTTGCAATCTGCAGCTTCACCACTAGATGGCACTAAATCCTGCATGATGCTCCTTTAAGGACACCAGCGATTACATTACTTACATGCTTTAAACCAATTCTCAGAGTAATCCTGGGCTGTTTGTTCAGATGATTCAAACCCTGAACAGTTGCATAGTGGCACATGCCCGTGAACACCCGAGCCATGTGTGCAGATATGGATGTGGGAACAGAAAGAGTAGGAGGCTCTGCACTTGTGGAGGCAGACTGCTCCGCTTCCCAGATTCTTGCTCTCTCTGTCTGTCTCCCTCGCTCGGCCCTGTCTCTTTGTGTGCACGCTTTGTGTTTGTTTTGCACGCGTGTGTGTGTGGGCGGGCGGTAGTTTGGCAGAGCCGCTAGACGAGGCTGCTGAATGAGACGATCAGACCCTCCTGTGCCCGATATCTCAGAAAACATTTATTTCTCATTATTTATTAATAAATTACATCATCGCTGTACTGCAGAGCAACTCGTGTTCCCAGCCAGGCTTCCATTCATGCACACTTTCCTCAGAGGAGGAGAAGCTGAGAGCTTTGAGCTGGCTCCCACACACACACACACACACACACACACACACACACACATGCCTTAATCTCTAAGTGCTAAAATACCTCCTTATAAAACCGTTGGTTGCTTCTTTGCTTTTCCATCACTTTGCTTTCCAAAGGCCCCCCTCTTTTTTCCTGGAGTCTTCACCAGTTATATTCTGCGGTCACGACCTCTGGGGTCCGCAGGGTCACAGTGAACGAACAAGAGCAGACAGCCACTGAGAGAAGTTGACGCCGGTCGTGTCCCCCTGATGGCTATAATGCTGCAGAGTGATGAGTCACAGTGTGCATGTGCAGAGATAAAGAGGAGCGAGCACTGCACAGCTTATTGTCCTCATTTGTGTCCATGCATGCTATTTACACTTTCAGATCTGTAAAGATGTCATCCATTCATGCTCAGACCAAGCTGCAGGCGTTCCTCGTGACTTCACATGATTGTGCACGTCATGGAAGTTGGAAAATTTGGTCGCAAACGTCACTGGTTTTATTCAGTCCCTGGCCGTTGTTGACATAAACGTTACAAAGCCGTGTGACGTAATTTGTTGTGTCATATGTTGCTTTAAATTCACAATCAGACTTCTTTGAAACCCCAAGACTGGCTAAATGTTGTCGTCATTCACACACACACACACACACACAAACACAGAGCAGATGGAGGTGCCAGTTTAGAGGAAGGTGAGTAGCACCGAGAGGCATGCAGAGCTTCACTGCAGGGCCGGCCTTCCCGTGCGTCACCGATGTGGCAACAGCCATTTGAGGGGTAATTATGGCATGGCTGGCGCCGCCAGTGTGGGACCCAGGTGCAGATAGCCTCAGCTCGAGACAGAGCTGGAGAGGAGAAGTGTTCTCTGAACAGAAGGATGACTCACTCTCTCCACCCCTCCGACTCTCTCCGTTCTGTCTCCCTTTCAGCCTCCATCTCTCCTTCTCTGCCGACTTATCTCCATCGCTATCTTGGTGTTTGAAGACTATTCACTCTCAGCCTTTGTCCCTCTGGCTCTCACGCTTTTCTGCCTCTTCATGTCTCTCCCCATTTGCATCGAAGTGCCTCACCGAGTCATCCAGCCCCGAGTTTGACATGAATTACAAATCAGTTTATAGTTAAAAGCACGGCATAGCTGTTGCTGTGATGATGTGCGTCGTTTTGCTTCAGGAAACGACTTAAAAACAGTTTACAGTCTTGTGCAAATTCATCGTTTTGTCAGCTTCACTAGTGAATAATATCTCTGCAAGCGTGTTCTCACAGTGTCTGTGGCTCTGCAGGACTAAGTGTGTGTCCTGTCGTTAACACGGCTAAATTTAGCTTTGTGTGTGTGAGCAAAGAAGAAGGAGGGGAGGGCTGGAGTTGTATATTTATATGTGAGTTTATGTGTCCATGTTAGTGCCAGGAAGTCACTGGAAATTTGCTCAGGCAGCTCCGTTTTTTTTTAAACGCTCAGCTGCTCCCCGGTCAGAGTGAGTGCACTTGAGTGTGTTGTGTTTAATCTGTGGGTCCATCTGTCGCTGCACAGATTAGGGCTAAAGGAGGGATTCCCTGCGTGCAACTAAATGTAGTCGTGGAAAAAAAACAGAAAAAAATTGAACATCATTTTATCTTTGTCTTCACAGGACTCAGGTGAGACTAGAAAGCCTCGAGGACTGCCGCGTCCTGGAAGACCCCGACAACGACTCGATGGCAGACACCCACGGCTGCCCCGCCTACGTCAGCCCCGAAATTCTCAGCGGCTCCACGCCATACTCCGGCAAAATGGCTGACATGTGGAGCCTGGGGGTCATGCTGTACACCATGCTGGTCGGTCGCTACCCCTTCCACGACCCAGACCCGGCCACGCTGTTTTCAAAGATCCGTCGAGGCCAGTGCTGTTTGCCTGAAGGCTTGTCGCCCAAGGCCAAGTGTCTGCTCCAGAGCCTGCTGAGGAAAGAACCGTCAGAGAGACTCACTGCAGCCGAGCTGCTCGCTCACCCGTGGTTCCACCGGCCGCCGTCGTCCCAAGAAGCAACGCTCGGTGAACAGGAAGCGAGCGGGGCAGAACAAACGGTGCCGTCGTTTGACGTGCACGAGGACGAGAACCTGTTCTGCTGACAAACTCAAACCAGAGCCCAGTTAAAGGACCAACACGAAATGCGCTAGGAGGGACTTGGTGGTCATTTTTGTACAGTGGCACTTTTTAGAAAACCAGTTCGTACTGTTTTGTGTGTACATACATGCACCCTCAAGATTTCTACAAAAAACTCTTCCTGTACTGTATTCTGATCTCGTATACACCTGCTGAGGGCATTGCTCACAATGATCACTCGTTGTGCTTCTGTGTGTGTGTGTTCTAGGAAATATTTGGTGCTAAAATAAACGATGGTGACTTGTAGTTCCACAGATCCCTCCAGGCTCCTCTGAGCGTGTCAGACCTGGAGGATGCTCATTAGAGCTTACCCTCAACCCGAACTAATGAAGGCATTAGCTTGCACCTTGAAAGTGAGGCGGGCGAGCGCGACCAGGATGTTGTTCCTCTCGCTCTCTGAGCACGCCGCAAGCTTCGGCAGGCTGACTCAGCCGTCGACTCGCGGACGGGCCTGGCTCCAGCCTGCTGCATCTCGGAGCAGACAGTGACACAGAGCGGGAAAGATGGTTAGCAGAGGACTCGTGTGTCACAGCTCAGCGTGACACTACGGAGGTGTCTCACTGCCAATCTGGCAAACGGACATCATTTACAAATCTCACACCGAGCGCAGAAGGTTGGGAAAAAAGGCGTGAAAAAAATGTCACATGCAACACACAGTGACACTAAGAACTTTAGTCTCTTTTAATGATAAAGCAGCTTTGTGTCGTTTCTTAAAGTTGGACCCAGTTATCTTTGGACGCTTGAGTTAGCCACAGCTGAAGCTAACGGTTTTCACTGCTGGTTTAAAAGACTCAGCTGATCACTGGATAATATTTACACCTGAAGGAAAGTAGAAACTTACTTTGAATCTTTTTCCTCTTATTGACTATCTTTTTATCACATGTTCTGTCATGGGTGAGCCTGTTTTGTTCATGCTGTCGGGGAGTCATCCTCGGACAGAGCCGAGCTGTGCTGCGTCCGTATCGCTGTGTTCCATAAACGGAACGAGCCGGTCGAAGTCAGGCGGGCTAGTCGACGCCGGTTTTTCTTTTCATGACTCAGTGCTTCAGCGTCTCTGCAGAGATTTGTTCTGACCTTGGAAGAAAATGCACAAACCATTTCACTTCCTTCGTTCTTTCCTCATTTCGACTTTTCTTTTTTGCCCCCTCTTTTAACAGCGTTATAGAGACTAGTCTTCTTAGTTAGTGACACTTTTCATTCTGGACTATTTGACGATTGGTACTAAATCTGGAAGAGTGCTGTGCATTGTGACTTCTGGGTCATACAGGAGCAATTTTTTCCTGTTATTTAATTATATTATCGCTCGTCTGCAAGAGATGGGGAAAGGCCTGTGATGACTTGCATCGTTCTGCTCAGAAAAAAAAAAGTAACTTAAGAGAGTAGATTTATGTTCTTGCTTCATATAGTGAGTCACACTTTCATGTGATGTGTAGAGTAAACTGACACGGGTTCGCAATCTCCACGTTGCACTGTGAATCATGCATTTATGACACGACCTGGAGGCCTTTATCAGCCCCAAAAGGTTACACTTAAGAGTTATTTTCACTGTAAATATGTATATATGTATATTAGAAATATATGTGGAATTGTCGAATAAAGATGAGTTTTTTTCATATTCACTCAGCTTGTTTTTTGATTCGCCACACCTGCGCTGCTCCACTCTGTGCCTCGAAGGTTTCCCTGAAAGAATCCTCTTCGTCGCTGCAGCACATTTTCTCATCTCCCTCAGCGAGTTCACTTCAGTCCTCGCAAGAGAAATAATAATAATAAAAGAAAAACCTTTCTTGTCTCTCTCCATCTCTTCCTCTGACAGTTTACTCTGCTCTGACCTTTGCGTAATGCAACATTGAAGTCCTCAAACACACAAATGTCAATAGTGGGTCAATGTCTTTTCCTGGAATACACCAGGGGGAGCAAAAGCCTCAATGAGAACCAATGGAGCTTGACGTCAGTTCATCAAACCCAGAACAACAACACAATTTCAACTCAAACACATTTTATTTTTCCAATGCGGTCCACTTTTACTTGTGAATCATTTGTTTGACCTATAAGAGCTTGGCATGTCTCCACCCTCTGCGTGTTATGACTACTCGAGGCATGGCTGGCCAGGGCTTGCGCAAGCGTTGCGTGTGTATGTGTGTGTTCTTGTGCATACCTGCTTTCTTGCTTGTCTGCGTGCATAAGTGTGTGTGGGCAAAAAGTCAGATTAGGTATCAACAGGGTAGCTGGAGTTTTCTGAGCTGCTGGGAAGCTGCCAAACCAAGTGAAGTGTTGCCCAACACGTCAGACTCCTGCTGCAGAGATCAGAGTCATGACCCCCCTTTAAAGAAATGCCAGAGATTAAGTTCAAAAGCAAAAAAAACAACAAAAGGAAATGGATTTTCATTATTAAATTAGTCTCGAAGGGAAAGTTTAGCTCTTTTAGAATCATGTTTTGTGGTTATGAACAATTAATATCTTACATGTTGTAGATATCTCCTCAGTTTGGAAATAAACAAGTTTAATTCTGAATAGAATGAGTGGCTCGAGTGAGCCAAGCACAAAAAGTGGTTTTAAAATAACCAAACTTTATCACAGTTCATGTAAAATCTAGTTTCACCATCGGTTCTATGTTATATGAATATTCTAGCAAAAATAATGGGGATATTCCTGCTGGAAGGGTTCCAGGTAGCATCAAGTGCTAGCTGCTACTACTGCTATTTGATCTCACAAATACCCATAAAGCTTTGCATAAATGGCTGTCATCCACTTTATTCTTAGATTAGCATTTAACTGATCAAATAGGTAAAAAATGAACATCTTCTTCTACAAATTAAAGTAGTTTAAAGAGATGTCTACAGGTAATACATTACTTGTTTATAATCTTTCCACAGAAGAGGACTGAACGTTATCTTTTTCTGTGAGGGTTGCTAAAATGAGGTCAGGCGTTATGAAATCTCAGGTATATACTCTGTGAGCTCTTTTTCTCTGTCTCTCAGCCGCAAGAGTAAACTTTATCCTCCCTTTTGGTCCGGGATCATTAAAGTTTCCCAACCACATAATCTTTTAAACAACAGAGTTCACAAACTTCCTCATGACACGTTAGCCTTGTTGGTTTCAGGTCACACATATCATCAGTCACTTCCCCGGATCTCCATGATGTCAGGGTGTGAAATCTAAATTTCGCAACACAACGTTCAATAAACGTACTGGGGAATCTTGAAGGCTGTTGACACAGGAAATTATAGAGTAAAACTATTGTGGGAAAATCTCAAATTATGTGTTCTGATTTTTGTGTAGGAGTAAATAAATTTAAAAGAGACGTATAAATATATATTGCACGTACGGAAGTGGAACGAAGAAGCAGATGGGACAGTAAAGCACCTGCTGTAGTCTCCAATCAAAAACTAAATATTGTGGCTTTTCCTGGAACTCCTTGGCTCAGGCGATCACTCCACTGATGCAATGGAAACAACATACTCAGTTCGAAACGGTCCTTTGACCTGAATCATTTCATAACACAAATCCCAGGAGGAATGTCGTGCAGAGCACAGGTCAGAGAAGGTGGGGGGGGGGACCGGATGCCTATTATAAGAGCATGCATCAGGATATTATAAGAGCAGTATTTTTCACCTTAATCTCTAAACACAAAGGCACAGAAGGCCAGAGGAGAAAATTAAGTGGTGACCTTTGCTGCCATCTAGCGGTCAGTTTTAAAACTACACCTCGGTATCTCCAACTACAGAAAAAATCAGAATCAAGAGGGAAACGGTGCATCTCATAATTAATTTGGCCCTTCACAGCAGATCTGTAGCAATGTTTTAAAAATATATGCAAAATGGTCCCAGTTTCATGAATAATAAACACAAAGAATAACAAACAGCCAATTTTATAAGTAACTCAAGTGATAGGTAGAGTCCAATTGAAGTGGAGGTTACAAGTTATAAATATTTTACCTGTTGTGGATAGCTTTTTAAGCAAGCTCAGCTGCTCATTTTGAGCCTGGTTCTGCTGGATGTTCCTTCCTGTTAAAAGGGAGTTATTTCTTTCCAATCACTTTTGTGCTCGTCCAAATTTTTTTTTTTTTTTTTTTTTTTTCGTTTAGCCTTTATTTATACAGGTAGTCTCATTGAGCCACGAGAACTCATTTTCAAGAGAGACCTGTTTAGGGAGCAAATGGGGGTTAAGGGCCTTTCTCATGAGCCCAGAGTGGGGCAAATGAGATGGGGGCAGGTGCGGGTGCTTCACTACCCACCCACATTTTTGACGTTGTCGGTACCAGGGCTTGAACCGGCGATCTTCTGCTCACAGGCCCACCTCCTCTAACCTCTGCTCCACCACTCCCCCAAAAATCCAAAATGTGGGATTAACGCAATCTAGCTTATTGCCAATAGCATCCAAGATGTCTTATAATAAATGTAATTCAGCAAACTATTGTAAACATCAGTAGTGTTTATAAATGGGCAATAACAAGAACTTGTTAAACACAAACTCTTTGCTGAAACCCATCAAGTCTGATTTTAGAGGCAAGAAGTACCGTCAGAAATGAGAAAACATTTGCAGGAGTTTGTTTTGCATTCTTCAGCCAAAAATAAAATAAAATATGTCTAACAGCACCACTTCTCCACTTGTGTGAAACTCCACAGGCCGCAGCTTGAATTGCATAATTAATCAGCTCATTTACAGCAATTACACCATGCAGCTCTACTTATGTGCTCTCCAACAAAACATGAATGGTACAGTCTTTTTCTGCATCAGTCTGAACAATCTTGAGATAAATATTTGTCTTGGATGTTGTCTGGGCTTATAAAGCTCATGGTAAGGAATTGTATTAGTTCAGACAAACGTGTGTCTGTGAAATATAAATGACCGTAAGTCCATTTTTTTATTAATATTTTTTTAATTATGTTGGGAACAAAGAATAAATTGCCTTTAATATTGCCTCTTGTTATTTTATTATAAAATAGATATTTTATGTTGAGAATGCGTATAGAAGTATGCTTTTAGATGAGCAAATTTCAAACCACTGATGTAAATAATCCTGTTCTCCATGTAATAATTTAAAGTTCCAGTAGAGGGCGATGTTTTCAAGTTTTTCTGCTTTATTTTGTAGGTTCTTTTCAAAAGTATCTGTACAAAACAGTGCAAAGATGCAATAAACAAGCTGATGAACTTAAACTTTATTATTTTCAGCAGAAATAAAAAATACTAAGCCTCAACCATCCTGCTTCATCTGCAGAATGCTGTTTTATTCCAACTCTATCTCATATTATGATTCTCTGTGGAGCCGAAAATATTTTGTGATCGCTCATTACTTTTTATACATCAATCAGTACCTAAAGGATATCTGCACAGAAGACTTTTAAAACACTGTGGACCAAAACTGGATTAGCAGAAATTAAAAGTTTAAGGCAAAAGTCTCCAGCAGCACATAAAAACAAATAAAACAGTAACAGATCCTCCAGTAAAGCTGTCCAGTATACAACTTTTTAAGGACTGTCACTGCACTTGGCCTGTGTACCACCTAATATAAATGTGACTGTTACTGCACTGTAAATCTGATTAAAAAAAAAACAATAGCTGACCAAATGTTGCATTTTTCTGTGGATTTCAGAGGTTAAACAGGCCCATTGGTATAAATCAGCAGCATTATTGTGCCATCGTCTTTCATGCTTTCAGAGCTCAAGGTTGTTCAGTTGGGACTTGATCAGGAGTTTTACCAGCTGAGTTTCAGGGTGATTTTTCAGGTGGATATTTCAAAAATAGCCTCGGGCCTAAGGGAGACCAGATGACCCAAATCCTACTGAAGACCTTTGGAGAGCTGAAATCTGCCACTGCTAAAAGGACTCCTATGAATTTAAGAGACTATGGGCACATGCTAATAGGAAACGGACAGAGCGTTTACAGGCTGTCCTTCCTGTCACAAGCCGAGCTCAAACCTGCAGCCTCAGGATTGCAAGACTGTGGCACAGACCACTGAGCCACCTCAGCCTCCTGATGATTAGGATAAATACTGCTCTTAAAATGAGAATAAAGAAGGGAAATGACATGTTCCTTAAGCAACATGAACACAATTACATTCATCAGTCTTTAATATGTCTCGAAGTGAAGGGACAATATGCCTCAGTGTCGTTCCAGCCTTGTTTTCTTGTTTTGTCGTGGTTTCCCAGAATGGTTTCATTGCAACACCAGCTCTGTGTTGACACTGACAACAGTGACTCTTGGCTGCTGCTGATGGGCACAGTGAGGCGTACCGGAGTGTTTCCTGAGAGCTTTGTGTCATTTATGAGACGTCCCGACAAACAGTTTGGCCTCATCTGCATTATTAGTGCTCACATGACTGTATCACTTCTAATTGTTTCTGCTCAACACATGCGACTCCAGCACTTCCCATCATGCAGTGGGGGTGGAAGGTTATCAAACTGTGGAAGGAGCAAAAATGCAAAACAAAATTGCTGTTTCTGTGGAAAAGCAGCGCGCTGCTGAAATTTAAAATGCAGAAACTGACTTTTTAAAGGCTAAAATAGCACAAAGATTACAAAAATGGTTTGATTGCACAACATGTGTGAAAGAAACACCAAACAGGAAATCAATAGTGCTGGTGCTAACTAATTTACTCAATTAAGGAAAAACAACGCAAACGTAATATACACTTCCAAAACAAATAACCTCCCCGGGCTCCGTCTAAATAGT